GCTTGCGATAGAAATGTCATCAGCAACTCGTCATAGAGAGCTCGGCATAATCTCGAGCTCAGCACAATCTCGACCCTAGTACTTGTCGTATTACCAACATTATCCCAAGAAGGAAAAAAGGCCGAGACTCACGAGATGCATCTATGTTTCTTAGTCGCTTTAGCGCCAAACTGGCCGTCTTGTCATTTGATATTTCTAAACTTGCCACCAGACGAAAGAATATTTAGCTAGAATCCGCCAGTCAACCTCATTTTCGATGTTTTTCAAACTTCTGTAAGCATAACACTAAGCTGGTTCTACGAATTGGGAAGCGTTTCAATGTTGCGTTGGATGTTCTGGCTGAAGCGGACCGACCATAGTTCAAACGGACGGCATAAATCACTGCAGTCACGATGTCCGAAAGAAGCAGGAGATTCCGGGTCGCTCCGGATGACCTCCGCTGCGCATAGAAATGAAGCAATCACATTATTAGTCTGGCAACTGTGGCTTTTGATACAATGAGATCCAATCAGCTCACCCTTGGCGTATATATGACCCCCTATCTTGTTGACGATCAACCCCCCGTCCATTTCTAACCTCGTCGTCGAAATGGTGTACTTGACCGAACCCTTAGCGGGGGGAAGCGTGTGAGAGGACGAGAGGTGGCTTAGTTGCCGGTCCTGATATCTTAGCATTGTTCCAGGCCTCAGAAGCGGTGTCTCCTCTGCCAAAGGGTCTTTTCCCACGGTTTCCTTCAAGATTTAATTCAGTGAATTATGCTGTATTGAAAGGTTTGTAATTAAAGGGCCTGATATAAGACTCCGGGGAACCGCATTACGAAGCCCTACTCGGCATGGTTAGTCGAATAAATCAAAGCATGGAGCCCCACACAACTAGGTTTGCAGCAATGTGATCGTTCTAGCGCTGTGTGTTTCTTATGATCTAAACCTATGACTACTGGCGCTATTGCAGATCTGACAGGGGCGTCTGGTCTTCTCATAGGTCATTTTGGACTCTCCAATTTGACCACAAGATCGGGTTCCACCGAGTTGGTATCAAGCCGTAAGTATAAGCCCTTAGATAGTCAAACTTTCAGAAGATATACAAATAGCACAGAAAGGCTCATACATCTTTCCTCAGTCATCACGTAAGGACTAATGCGATTTGATGGTGGGCTAGGCGAATTTATCAACCCTCAATCTAATTGGGCGTTTGCTATGGGCTTGGATATGGTTGGGGCCAGATATTGATTCCTAGGAACACAGCCCGGCCATAGTGGAAATTGGACCCAACTACCTGGCTTGTGACGCAAAAGGTTGAGTGCACAAGCATGCCTCGCGCGGTGGGTTTGACCGCTGCCTAGGCGCGGTCTTATCACCCGGGTGAAGTAGTGGCGTGTCCCCAAGGGTTATTTACCTGCAGCACCGGTATATAACCTGCTTCCATTCTCAGTAACTTCCAATTTCTCTACACAGATCTTCGCTGAATCAAACCCTCACCACCCCCCAAGTTCCACCGAATGTCGACCAATTTGGAGCATGATGATCTCGAATCATGCCACAGCCAAAAAACATGTTCCACTGCTACCAGTCCCTTGGGGCCACTACAAACGTCCTACCTGACATTTCCATCTCAAAGCTATCCCTCTCCACCCTCCAGAACCGTTTTGAAAGGCTACAAATTCTACAAAGCAGATCCTAGCCTAGATGAAGCGGCAACCTGGGCATGCGCAGAGCGAACCGAACTACGCATGAAACAAGAACAGCTCTACGAGATGATCCATGAGCGGGCAGAAGATTATTCTGCTAGACAGCAGTACAAAAACCTGAGCCGCGACCAGCGCGCTCAGGTCACCCAGCTGGCCGAAGACCAACGAGTGGATTATCCACGGATGGAATGGAGCTGTGTCTATGCCAAAGAAAGCTATTATGCGAACAAGGCTCGCAACCCCAATCGACATGATTTCGAGACAGTCTCCATGACTATCATTATGACGGGGAGACCCATGGAACCGACAAAATACCCCAGAACGCCTATGGGAGAGTACGTGGATCTTAGGAAGCATTGTCAGCCTCACGAGGGTGACATGAACCATTCCAGGTCATCCGTTGCAAAAATAGGCCCGTCTGGGTATTACAGAGTCCAAGCACAGCATTCTGCCCCAAAGCCAGTGAGACGGTACCTGAACCAGGGATCGGATTCAAGACGGGTGGTGCCCCCATCAGTGCTCTCGACTCAACTCGGCTCATGTCAGCTCCCGGTATATGACAAGTAAGCGGTTTCTTATCCCCTCTTCTTTCAATTGCTATGTCTTCTCTCCAGGTTTGGGTGGAAGTTGACTGCCCTCAACTAGCTCTGTTCCAAATGCTAATTTTGCGGGTCCCTTCAGTGGACATGATAGCGTCAACGGGTTATTCTCATCTGACAGCCACCACGATCAACGGTTTACTAAGCCTGGTGAAGCATTATCTGCCAGTGGCAGTTATCAAATGCTGTCACAGCTTCCTGGTCAACACCCGCAGTCGTCCACCGGCCAGAACTCTCGCCACTCAAACGGTTCCCCACACTATCTTCCCAATTCGAATGTACCAAGCCAGAAGACAACGATAGCCAGAAATCCTGAGTTTGTGTTTTCTTCTACGACGTGCAAGAGAGGTGGGGACTTTGAAGCACAAATTCCAAAGAGAACCTGCCGGCCTTATGGGATCCAGCAAGTTTATGACGTTCAAAGCCAGGGTGTTGAAGATTGTACTCCCTGATCTGAACCTTCCTAGATGCGGTCCAAGCATCTACCACGTGACGGCCGTGGTTCTCTGTAAATTCAAGTCGACTTGAGCTACACAGTCGTACTTGAATGAGCGAAATTGTTTCCTGTCTTTTGTCCGTGGAATGCTTACCTGGCTCTCTGGGGAGAGGAAGAACGCTCGTCAATTGATAGAGCATCTATTTCTCAATCTCAATAAATGATCCTGTGATGTCCTCTGCGAATACCTGGAGCGCTGTGAGGGTCTCACGTATACATAGAGGTGGATAGTGTTTCAAGATGAACAATCGATATTAAGAACAACTATAGTTGACTCTAGATACAAGACGTAGCGCGAGGAAGCAAAAGAAAGGTAACTTCCTCGCGTTCAGGGGAACCCATGTACACCATGTGGGTCCCGCACAGATCATGTCTCCATCCGTTCCGTATGCTTCATGTATATCCTTGACAAGCGCTCGTCTGGATCCTAGGATTACGTGGCGTATAGTTCGGTCTAAGTGGTAGCACAATAGGCCGCTACTGCGCTGAGTAATAGGGAAGGTAGCTATTTTGACTACACGTAGAGTAACTTAATATTTGAAATAAGTTTTACTTCTACACTCTCTTAGATTCATTCCCTAACATAAAGTTAGAACAATCCAATTTAATTTCGGTCTGTCTAGTTAGGAGAGCCACTAGAGTTTGTCCTATAGAAGAGGAAAATGAGTGACCGAGACGATGTACAAATATTTATTTGAGATCAAGGATCAAGCGGACGATTAATGCGCAGACTGCGTTAGATAATGCACAGTTATGTATTTACATAGGGAGATTGTCATGAGGCCAGATAGGAATAGATGTGCGATATGCGGTTACATGACCTCGTCGTCGAAATAATGTACTTGACCGAACCCTTAGCGGGGGAAGCGTGTGAGAGGATAAGAGATGGCTTAGTGGCGGGCCCTCTTATTTTGGCAGTGTTCCAGGCCTCAGAAGCGGTGTCTCCTCTGCCAAAGGGTCTTTTCCCACGATTTCCTTCAAGATTTAATTCAGTGAAATATGCTGTATTGAAAGTTTTGTAATTACAGGGCCTGATATAAGACTCCGGGGAACCGCATTACGAAGCCCTGCTCCGCATAATTAGTCGGATATACGAAAAGCTATCGAGTAGCTTACGGCCGACCTGCCTTTTCATCCTACCATACCGCGCAATTAGGCTTAAGGTTAGGTGTGCGGCAAGATATCGAGCCGTACGGTTTTTGGGTAGAGCACGAATCTGTTACGATAGTTTATTAGATCAAGAAATGGTCCAAACCGAGTGATTCATGCATTTGGAAAGCTTGAACACCGCCACCACCACAGTGGATGATTTATCTGCGCAGCTTTTGAGGATGAGAGGCCTGAAGAGCGGTGAGAACATGAAGGATCCTTAAGCTCCGAATTTGGGGTCAAGATTCCAAAGGATTCGACCTGGGCTCAGTGCTGCAGCACTCTTACGTACCGCCAGATCGACTTGGATCTGTGGCGGCTCTGTGGGGCTTTCGCACTCACCAGGAGTGGAGGAACGCTGGCAAAAGATTGGAGCCTAAAACAGACATGGCCGTTAAGATCGGTGAAGATCAGGAGGATTCGTCTCCTTTTTACCAGCTTACCTCCAAGTCTCCTCCCAACAGTTGTCTTCTCTTGTCTTCGTAGCGTCAGAAGGCAAAGTGCTACGCACATGACGAACAATTTACAGGCAACTTGCCTACCCTGCAGCCATTCCTGACGCCTTTCCCTACTAGGAAGACTTACGAAACTTCCTGGGATATGTGGCTGTCGATCACAGAAGCTCCGCACCCCGAGAATTCTGGTACACGGCCTACGCGTCCGGGCGTTGGCTCCACAAATGCAGGCCTGGAAATGGAACAGAGGTCTGGAGGCGCCGTGCATACTCTAGTGCTGTATGGCGGATACTCGCTCTCAGCCTCCAGGTAATAGACGTATTCCAACCCCCCATGGAGAAATAGTAACAACAGGACGAATTAGCCCAGGCTAAATATATAACTTGCGCCTCCATACTTCGATGTTCATCCAAAACGCTTATATTTGATATTTCCCTCCATCGTATACGGAGACAATATTGCAACAGGTATTATCTTTCATATCTATCGTCACCTTTTGCTAGGACATATCAAAATCACTACTTGGCTAACCATTCAGTCCAATCTAAAATAGTCCCTTTGTTGCCCGCTACTAAGCCCATCTTCAACGTTGCTTATCCGAATATCCGCCACAAATGACCCAAGACAATCGCCGGAGATCTCCTTATTCTCATGTTCTTGAACGAACTGCTATTATGAATCCTCAAACGCTGCAAGAATATCTCCTTACATGCTACCCAATCTTGCTCATGCTGCTGTTCGTCGTGGTCTGTGTGACCAGGATGGTCGCCAAGAGCAAGACCGAGCAAAAAGTGTCACAGAACAAAGATGGCCAGCTTCCCAGGCGGACCCGGAACCCGATGGCTTCCGGTCAGACTAAGCCTTTCTCTGGCACCGTCAAACACTACTTCATCTGGCTTTCTGCTGGTGTGCTTGTGACGTTCCTTGTTGATGCCACGGTCCATATCACCCATGTGTTAATGGCCCGTTCCGTGCATCGGTGGCGCGGACAGTCAGTAGTGGTACGTCTCTATATTCTTTGAACCTTGCTATGATATAGTATATCTAATACCCGCAGATTTATATCGTCGGCTCTATTTTTGCCTACGCAGTTATTCTTGTCAGCATAGTCGATACCACACCTTCCCCGACGGCCACTCAGCTCACATGTTGGTCCTTCGCCATTCTCGCCGAGCTCATCATTTTTACCACGACCCTCTCGCTTTACACCTCCGTCTATCGTGAGCCAGTAGTCGGTAACCGCAGCGGAGGCCCGATATGCCAAGGGATCACCTTTTGGGAGTGCATGGAATTGGTCCCCAACGGTGTCCGTATCTTGATTCTGATCACTCTCGTTCTACTCTACTACACCAAGTCCGGTGCTCCTATAGATCATGATGAAAACTTAGAGGAGGAGCCAGATCATGCTACTGAGGCAACTGGATTGCTGAAGTCTCCGCGCACAAAGGGCTGTGGTGGTAAAGGTCACGCCTACGGTTCAACAGGCGGAGCTGCGAGACCCGCAGAGCCCAAACCACCAAGATCCTGGGTCCGACCAGAAGAGTTGCCATCCATGAGCTTCTTCGATTATTTAGGTGGTTTCTCACGGTTCTTCCGTACATGTGGCCATCCAAGTCCCCACGCTTGCAGGTTGTAGCTGTGACTTGCTTCGTTCTTGTCATACTTCAGTGAATTGTCAATGTGATGACACCCGTTCAGGTTGGGGCGATAACTACGGTTCTGGCGGACCAGCAAGCCGGAAACACATTCTACACCCCATGGTTCGAGATATGCATGTATGTTTTCTGCCTGTGGCTACAGGAAGTTCTGGGCTCTCTACGCACTGGCCTTTGGATACCGATGGGCCAGTATTCCTACCTGGAGCTTTCTGCTGCCGTTTTCGAACATGTTCACAGCCTCAGTTTGGACTTTCACCTAGAAAAACAGACGGGTGAACTCCTATCAGCTCTGAACAAAGGCAAATCGGTCAATTCATTCCTAGAACAAGTCACCTTTCAGTTCCTTCCTACGTTAGCTGACCTGCTCATCCCAATTGGGTACTTTCTGGTTGCATTTGATGTCTACTATGCTCTTGTGGTTGGGATCTCGGCATTTGTTTATCTTTATGTCACCATTCGCATGGTCCAGTGGAGTGCGAAGACCAGGAGACAGATGGTCAATGCTTCGAGACATGAAGATGCGGTGAAGTAAGTTTAGAAAGTTATCTGCAATATGAATTACAACAATGCTCACATGCACACACAGAAACGATTCAATGATGTCATATGAAACGGTGAAATATTTCAATGCGGAGCAACACGAGTTTGACCGCTACCGCCGTGCTGTGTGCGATTTCCAAACTGCTGAGTACTACTCATTCCTCTGCGGAGCCATGATGAGCACCAGTCAAAAAACTGTGTTGACGACCTCTTTATTGTTCACATGCTTCATCGCTGTATACCAGGTCTCAACCCTCCAGCAGCCTGTGGGTCAATTTGTGACATTGTTGATGTACATGGCCCAGCTCCAAGGCTCATTGAGCTACTTCGGTGCATTCTATGTTTCTATACAATCTTCTTTGATCAATGCCGAACGCATGTTGGAACTTTTCAGAGAGCAGCCGACAGTCACTGAAAGCCCTTGTGCTACCCCAATGGCCACTTGTCAAGGAATGATCGAGTTTCAGGAAGTTGGCTTCTCATATGATGCACGGAAGCCTGTATTGAATAGTCTTTCGTTTAGCTGTCAACCTGGGTCCACTACGGCCCTAGTTGGAGAATCTGGTGGGGGCAAATCTACGGTTCTCCGTCTCCTCTTCCGATACTACAACTCTACGAATGGCAAAATTTTCGTCGACGGACATGACGTGAAGAATATTACTATTGATTCTCTTCGAAGAAATATCGGTGTCGTGCCGCAGGATACGATGCTTTTCAACGAAACCTTGATGTACAACCTCAAGTACGCGAAACCCGATGCCTGTGATGAAGACGTCCACCGGGCCTGTCGCATGGCCGATATTCATACCAAGATCAAGAGCTTCCCAGATGGCTACAATACTAGGGTTGGAGAGCGCGGACTACGACTGAGCGGTGGCGAGAAACAGCGTGTGGCAATCGCTCGTACCATTCTCAAGAATCCTCAAATCATACTGCTGGATGAAGCTACTTCCGCGCTCGACACTCAAACGGAAGAGCATGTCCAGAAATCCCTAGCAGCTCTCTCCAATGGCCGAACTACGCTCGTAATTGCCCATCGACTGAGCACCATCATGATGATGATGATGATGATGATATTTCTTATACCTAATGGAGCCTGCCTAAGCGTGCGGTAAGCTATGTAGGTCGGTGCACCCGGACTGGCACCACAAGAAACCTTCTTTTAACGCCGAATTCCCAATAGAAATGACCGGACGGTCTGTCCTAGTGCTTTAAAGCGACCGAGTGACCAATTGTTCAGTATGTTGTATTTTGTTCAATGCAATCCAGGGCGCCCCCGGAACTCAGATCGTACTTTGTTGAGCTTTGCAGAACTGTTACACCTTTTCTCAATCTAGCTACCACAGAGGGGACATCCTTCTTTCCTAGCGGCCCGAGTTAAACGGCTAGTACTTCGGAAGGTAAGCTGAAAGGCTAGACCGGTGACAGTTTTCCCCACCCGCCTTTTATTGCGTACCGCAGTAGCTACCCCTACCCCGGGTCTACCATCCAGGTCCTAGCCAAGTCAACCAAGGCGTAGGCTTTCTTCGGTAGGTGCCTCTAGGGTAAAAGTTGTGAAAGTGACAGGATTCGAACCCGCAGTCCCTACGTTCCGTGCTAGGACCCCAGCTAGCATTTTCGCGTAAGACCTAACCAGTGACGCACTACTGTTTACGCCACACACCCCCTGAGCACCATCATGTCAGCAGACCGCATTCTGTTTTTAGAAAACGGCCAGGTAGCTGAGAGTGGCACCCATGGGGAACTGGTGAATATGAACGGCCGTTATGCTGGCATGTGGCGAATGCAAAATGGTGAGGAGAAACCTCAAGCCCAAGACAGTGTGGACTGCATCCAAACGGATCAGCTGTAGGGAAATCCAAGTCATAATTGTCGTTCTAGCCACTGAAACAGCATCAAAATGAGAGGTATTCAGTTCTTGATATGTTTGCCAAGATTCGAGGACCGTGATCCATGGCTTTGACCACCATAGATTTGTGAGGAGTTGTCGTTTAGTGATGGCCAATAGCACTGTACAACTGTACCCCTTAGACAATGATCCTCATTTCTATACATTAGCTTAAGCGTCATTACAGGTCAATCTCAAAAATACAAGTAAGTTCGGGGAAATAGGCTTTACAACTGGCATCTCTTTCACGTCAGATTGTGCATCCTGCTTATTGAGTAACCTTTTTTGCCTGATGGCTCTTTTTTTATTCTGGCTTCACTTATTACATATATTCTGAGTGCTTTCAAGTAATTGGATCTGACTACCAGTTCGATTGCTATTACTGCCAATTTCCTATTGGAACTGTATCTGGGATACTGCCAGATTTTAATTTAGTGACAATCCAAGCTTGAGGAAAATGACGATGTACCCACACAGGAAAAAGTGACGACCTGGTGTTTAAAGATTGAGAGTCTAGGTTTTCTTTTGGGCTATCCACTTGCCTGAGTCCCAGGAGCCTATCGGCAAATTATTATGCTGGGGTCTGTCGTGCTTCCGCTTGGGAACGGTCTCACGAATACAGAGATGCATAATGTCTTGAGATGAATGATTAATGTTGAGAACTACAGTTGACTCTAGGTAGAAATTAGTGCGAGGAACCAAAATAAAGCGGCTTCCTCGCATTCAGGGGAACCAGATACACTATGTATGTCCCGCATGTCAACTCTCCTCCATTTCTCGTGTACTCCTCATGTATATCCTCGACAGAGCCAATCGTATCTCCTAGGAGCTTATATCTACTGAAGGCATCAACATTACAAGTTTGTGTGCGGCCGTCGATGTCAGCTTACTCATATTGCTGGATTCAAGTATATAAATATTGATATGAGCCCTGATATTTTTGTGTTCCCGACCAACGCATCGCCCGAAACTTCAGGTATGAGATTACCCTGCGAGAGAGGAATACAGCAGAGCCCATTTTCTCTAACCTTTTGACTAGCCAAATAATATTCTTCTCATACTATAACAGGACGAGCAACCATGGCCGATGCTAGGCCGTTGTGTGATGAATCCAAAGAAGGAAGCTCAATCGACAACCCTATTATTATCGACGACGACGAATGGTCTTCCCAGCAGTGCATATCAAAGCAAGATGATTCTGATGGGGACACTGAGCCATTGACTACGCGAGAATTCGAGGCGTATTTCGGTGACAGACGGTTCCACCTTCCACAGGGCAACTCTGAATGCCCAGTGACGGAATCGACTTCTGTGCTGGCTCCGAACAAACTTACACATGATCAAGGCTTTGATTTCCCTGAGTCTGACCTGACTACTTGCACTTATGTAAAAGAGGAAAGGCCTGAATCCGCTAAAACTGCCGCAGGTGATGAAAGTACGTTTGTTTGAAGCGATAAAAGAAACCCCCTGTAAATATGTTTCGCTAACGAGTTCTACCGCAGGAGCCTCACAAGGCAGAAATGGAAGCTGTTGTCGGACAGCAGAGGATCCGACATCTTGTAGTAAATTCTACTTTTTGAGATCCAAGACGGGTGATAAATTGGAAATATCTATCAAACCTCGCCAGCCCAACAATGACCATCCGCCCTGTCAACAAGGGCCCGGTAAACGGAAAAGAGGACACGAAGATCAGGACGATTCAGGATATCTGCGATCAAAGCGCCTGGTAAATAGGGAACAACCATGACTGGAGAAGCAGTGTACCCATCTTGTCGCGCTAGTCGTCCATATTCTCTCCTGTCCGTAAAACCAGGATGCCATGGAGGAATTCTTACATGCCTTGTGAAACCCCCAGGTCCTTTGGTTGCAATTGCAACTTTTGGTGGAAGCCGGTTATGTTAAGAGGCTAGCGCAGAATAGGAACAATGCTCCATCGTCGGAAAGCTCCCTACAATTGTATACGAAAAGCTGGAAATCAACTTGGACTCCATTTTGTATAGATTCTGCCTCCTGCTCAGCAAATTTCAATAATTCTATCAATTTTTGACATCTACCCTTATTCGGCTGCACACGTTGTCGTCACTTCTATCTCTTGTGCCGGAAGGTGACATGGTTTATCTGTGATGATGAGTATCCATTTGTAAGTGGTACATAAATTCTGTCTAGATATTTTCAACACTACAATGAGGTATACAAGTCACAGTATAGTCGCCTATACAGGCACTACCCAGGTGAGCTTGTGACCCGTTGTGTATAGTGAGCCTTTGCTAGATGTACTTTAACTACGTTGAGCGGATGTCGCGTGGGCGCACACTCAGATATTTTTAGAATATATTGGGGATTTCCATAAGGTGGCTTGGTGTCTGACAATTATTACTTCCTGAAACCTGTGGAAATCATTATGGTTCCTCCCGCGTTACTATAGGTTATGTTTTCCGATTTGTAGCCGCCTTTTACCGAGTGAGAATACTGAGATGAGAGACTTCGCATTCTTAAACTGCGGCATGCTATGGAAGATGAATTACAATCTTCATATTCTCCTGTTGTGGATTTTAAGCCCCTACACTCTCGATACGTGTCTCGTACAAGAACGGACTCTTCGGTGAAAGCATGAGTATGTCAACGAGAATGGGGACAATTGGATGTTTTCTGAGAGTTTCTGTTTGGCTCCTCCTCCAATCTCAATATTTAAGGTCTGTCTGATATAGCCTCATGTTTCCTTCTCAATGATAATCAATCTTCCTTTGAATTACACCAATACAGGATCTGGCACGTCATGCTGCGTGTGGTAAGTGTGGATGACCTTTCTACAACGATCAGGATACTGACGACTGTAGTCGAAACAACGGAGCCCTAGACACCTTGATTCGCCTTTTACCAATCCCCTCGTCGGACGCCGAAACACATTCCGTCCACACGGCAAGTGAACCGTCTCCCGCTAGTGGGCCCTGTCCCTGTATGTTCCAAGTGGTTTATATACGACATATACAGTGGCACCTCATAAGTTTTAGGAACCTATTCCGCCTGTCGTAGTCCCGTCAATCAAAGACTCCAAATCGAGAGTGGTAGCACCATTTACTGCGCAAAAACGCTGTGTAATATTATACAAAGGCGATAATCGATGAGGTGTCAAAATTTAAGAGTGTCACTGTATTCGTACTAGTGGAGAATATAACTACACTTCCATTCATGCATTACTCCAGTCCCTAATCTCCAATTCATCTAGATCATTTTGGTGGCGCGCTTTGGCTCGATAGGCGAGGACGCGGAACGGGTCGGAGAGGAGACTGGAAGCCAGTTCCCGACACATTATTTCCAAGCTGTGTCGCTGACAGGCAGTGACATACTTTGCGCCCTCTTCCTTTCTTCCGTACCCTCTTCTTTCCGATCAATCTTATCCGCACACCGTCTCCTTGCGTCCTTCGTCTTGGTCTACCATAAGTGACCCTCGTTATACAGCAAATAAACTTTGTGCTTTGCGGAAGACCACACTCAGTTCGCTGTCATGTCCCCTGGCAGTAAGCGTAATTTCACTTGCTCCTGGGAGCGCTGTGGCAAGGTCCGTTTTCACCCCTTTCTGCTGATGGATAACATTTGCTCCCTGCGGATTAACACGATCCCTTCGCCAGTCTTTCCATCGCAAGTCAGATCTCTGCCAGCATTATCGGATACACACCAATGAGCGGCCCTACCATTGCAAAGTGAAAGGTTGCAACAAAAGCTTTATTCAGCGCAGCGCTTTGACTGTACACTCCAGGATTCATACGGGCGAAAAACCATACGTCTGCGACCATGAGGGGTGCCAGAAAGCCTTCTCAGATGTGAGCCTCTCGCCCTGGATCTTGGATCCAGTAGATCCACTAACCACCACAGTCCTCTAGTCTAGCCCGCCATCGAAGAATCCACGCTGAGAAACGACTGTGCGTCTGCCAAGAAGAAACCTGCGGACTAAGGTAAAGCGATTCTGGAACCCTACCATCCAGCAATGTCAACCAACTCACATCGTGGCTTTTTTTTATTGTAGTTTCTCTCACAAAGCTGTCCTCACGAAACGCCAACGCGGCTTCCAGTCTCCAGGATGTTTCATTCAACCACCGTCAAAAGACTCGACGTTGGAACGTTACAATCAACACGAGACTTCTGCAGCCGTGTCAATTCGTAATACGCAAGACCAGAACTCCTTCGCACTGCAGCCCTTCTACCCACAATCAGCGTCGCCCAGCCACGAGCTCTGCTCCATACATGGCGTTTCGATGGGCTCAGTGCACGTGCATGAGGGTTCTCCTGCAAGTGTAGCACAGAGTGTGCCCTTATTTTCGGCGACGAACCTGCAGTATGTCTGGCAGCTTGTCCCTCCGCCACACCACGAGATGCCCGCAGCCATGTCAATCCCCAATGCGCAAGACCAAAACTCCATCGCACTGGAGGCCTTCTACCCACAATCGGCGTCGCCCAGCCACGAGCTCTGCTCCATACATGGCGTTTCGATGGGCTCAGTGCACGTGCACGAGGGTTCTCCTGCAAGCGTAGCACAGAGTGTGCCCTTATTTTCGGCGACGAACCTGCAGTATGTCTGGCAGCTTGTCCCTCCGCAACACTACGCCACTCAGCAGTACCATAACACCCACGATTTTTGCAGAAGAGTCTCCGAACTCGGACCGGAATGCTTATTGCTGTAAATATGGCGAGCTATGAGTCTGGTCTGGAGATCAATTGATAGTGCCATATTTCTCCTGCTCTAGAAAGGTGATATCACATGTGCTGCCTACTGCGGTGGCGGCGGGAAGAAAGCGTCAGGAACTGGGTCCGAGAAGTAGAGCATGATGTAGGAGGGTCGGCAAAGTGGGACAGTAACCATTAACCCGCTCTTTACCGGTAATTGTGCTGGGAGTTGAAGCTTGGTGGGCTTTTTAACATGCCCTTTGAGTTCCAATCAACCCTTCAATACATTTTGGTTCCCCTTGGTCAATCTAGCCTTATCAATGAATACTTGGCAGAATCCTGAAGATTGTGCATTTGCTGCAGGTAGCAGCCTCGCCCGTCTGGTGGATGCTGAGTCCACCATTGTAGTACACCTCAGCGTTAACAGAAACCACGCGTGTCCTGGACATAATCTATTGTATCTCATGACACCACGTTAGTTCCCTTCTCACAGCTTAGGAGCACCAATTATCTTGGAGGCGGTGACACGCTGCAAAATTCTGGAAAGATTTTGGCAGGACAGCCACTAATTTTGTAGGAGTCCAGAATTATCAGGGGTGTCACAGTCATCTCAGCCTAATTGGGGTTAAGAGGTGTGGGGGGGGGGGGTGCAGATGTTTCCGCCAATACCGAGGACTCCCTGGAAGTGACTACCAGCTCATACCACCCAGGACGAGCGAGGGGAACGAAGTCATGCAGCAAATCGTCAAGTTCCTGCGCGCAAGGCGGGGCCCTCCACGCATACTTTACTGTACGTGACCCACCAGCGAGCTGCACACTATCAAGCCGTTCAGCCCGGATAACGAAATTTAAACCCATAGTCGATTTACGTTACTGTAGCTTCCTGTCTTTTGAGCTTCTGACAAAACCTGATATTAGTCAACTGACCAGGTCTCGCCATCCTGTACTGTGGGCGAAGGCTTATCTGCGGCGAGCTGGGACCACCTTTGGGCCTCTGCCTCGTGGTACTTTGCAGCCAAGAGCGCTCGAGCAGCAAATTTCTCAGCGTGGGTCTTAACCAGACTCGGTGAGGACTCGTGGCAAATGAAAAAGGGACACGGGGAGATGGGAAAGCTAATATTAAGCCGCTGAAGCTTGTTGCGTCCCTTTTGGTTCTGGCCCTGACCTCGGAATTATATCAATCCTGTGGCATCCATCCCGTCTACGTGTTATTGGCTGTCAATGTTGTCTCCCCTTACCACCCCCATCATTCATTTCAACGAAAAAGTGGTCTCGGCCATGACAGTTCTGCAGCACACTCACTAGGCAAGGCGACTCGCTAATTCTTACTCTTCCCATAGCGACTTCCCGACACAAACCGACTAACATGCACGCCCGAGATCCTTCTTATTCGGGCAAGGATCGTTGTTAACGATCGAAGAGGCAGAAACTTTACCCTCTGGGGGAGCCTCGTCCAACCATATCTAGTAGGAGTTTGCCCAGACATTGGCGTGGTGGAGAAGGTTGCACTGGACTTTTTCCTATTCGGGTATCATCCAGAGATTCTATCCAGGTCAACCAATTCGAGTTTCAGTATATTTTAAACCTGGGATCGGCTCCGCGAACTAATCTCCAACAAAACATAGTTACTGGTTAATACCCCAACGTACATACGCAACCCGATGATCTACCAATCTCCCTCACTCTGGGTCGTATTTATTTAGATGCCCTCAGGCCTCGCCTGCCGTTGATTGATTCTGGAAGCTTTCCCCGTTTATGATTCTGGCGTAATGAGGGGAAGGTCAGTTCTATCAAATACTAAATTGATGCTTGGATCTTGCTAACGTCCTCTAGCCTCACGTGTCGTCTACGCCATCTGAAATGTATGTATTCGATATTCAAATATTCCGTCGGATCTCCATTCCTGACTCGAAAAGGTGATAAATCCGATTCGAAAAGTCTGCGCTGTCAACGATATAGTTGCGAATGTGTGCCGGCTCCTGGAAAGTCAGAAGAAGTGTCGTTTCGACATGGCCAAAATCCGTCGTTGCAAGGGAATGGACCCCCGAGATATGGCGAGAGTGATCTTGCCTTTCCGGACGATCAGGTCTGGGTTGAGACTTCTTCAGAGTGTATGGTATTCGTCTCTCCATCTCTTGTTCATACCTCGTGCTGACCGCACAGTCGACTTCAAGGATGAAACAGATCAGACCGCGGCTGAATACTATGTTGTATCTGTAGCAAGGCAACAATCAGCATCAAGATGGTCCTCTGAGGGTCGTTCGACACCTTCATCTGTGGTGGATTCATCTATGGCGATCCCAAACCTGGTCATCCCTTATTCGCAACTTGGCTCGCGGTCCAATTCAGCAACCTCGCATTCATCGACACCTACCCCTGACAATCAGCCAAAACTAACCAACATCAACGAGGCGTATCTACTGCGCCATTTTCAGAAGCGTCTTGCACCATGGGTGAGTCCCACTACGATCAATTCCCACATTATACTAAGATTGCAGCTCGACGCATGTAACCCTCGCCGACACTTCTCCACCGACGTAGTCAAACGCGCGACCACATCTTCTCTACTTTTATACGCATGTCTAGCAGTATCAGCCTGCCACCTATCCCGAACAACAGACACCATCCCAGCAGACCTCGGAGACATGTATCACGAACGCTGCCTCTCAATCATGCTCCCAGTCCTTGACAAATCGGACGAAATCGGCATCGACGTCCTTATCTCATCAACAGTAATGCTCCGCTTCTTCGAGCAGGTCTCCTGTATGTACCATCCCGTCCCCAATCCCCCGCCAACCGAACTAACGAAAGGACAGCATGCAACCCTTCGAAAGACAACCAATGCCACCTCCTAGCGGGCTCAGTCTACATAAGCTCTCATGTTGACTGCGTAATATCCGGCGGCTTAGCAACAGCCTCCTTCTGGCTCTTCGTCATCCAAGACATCCAGTTCGCACTTACGTACCAGAAATGCCTGCGGCTCACCTTCGCCCCGTTCGACGAGGTTCTCCGCCGGTGGTGGGTCGCCAAGCCCGTCCTGAGCGACGGACACTGGACTAATCGCGCCATTTGGCTGTTGGCTGAGACTGTTGGTTCCTGTTGGAATGTCTCGGGCCAAAATTACGGGGGCCGACTTGGCTCGGTTGGTGAGATGGCTCTGAGACAGAGGATCCTTGAGTGGGAGGTTGGGAGGCCGAATTCTTTTGCACCTTCGCATGTTTCGCCGCCGGATCGTGCTAGAGGGCAACCTTTTCCTGTTGCTTGGTTTACTAGTTCTTGGCATGGTATGCTTTTCATGTGGCGGGTTTACTTGTTTTGCGCTGATTTGGGTTTAGCTTCTGCTATACAGTATGTTTGCCTTGCCAAGGCATTGATGTCGATTCGCGAATTGGAGGGTTGGGCACCGAGCATGAGACATTTGGAGCAGCCTGTCAGGTTAAAGGTATGTTATCCTTTGGTGTGGGTGTGGCATGAACACTGCTGACGAGCATCAGAATGAAATCATCGAAAACCTCTATCTCATTTTCGGTATCGCCCTCTCAGCCGACAATGATCCCCCACTACGAATCACAGCTTCCCACGTCCTCCGTGCTTGTAAGTCTGATCCAAAATGTTATCCATTCACCAACTGACATCACCCAGGCGGCTCATGGATCGATGACCCTCTCGCCCAAAACCTGATCTTCGACCTTCTCCAACGCACTGAAAGGGAAAATGGCTGGCCATTAGCTCATGTACGAGAAAAGGTAGTCGGATTCTGGCGACGAATATAGTCTTAGTACACATATGGACACATCCATATGACTACATCAATGTATAAGTTACCCTTTACCCATATCCCTATCCCACATTTTCCTCTCACCGTGACAAGAGAGGATATCCATTGCATACATCTGTTGTAGTTCAAAGGAAGATTGAATTGTACTGAACTAGAGGGAATAACTGAGGCTATATATACACAAAGAGTAGATCAAGTTGATTGGAAATCAACTTGTTTCTTCGTATAGACACCTCGGGATTAATTCCGATGGTACGGCTTGGTTCCTGATCTGCACCAGCCTCATATCACAACAAGACTAAACCCCAGCCTGTTTTAGAAGCTTTAGAGTCTAGGCAGCTCCGGTCGCATCCCGTGTTGTCAATCCTAGCTTCACGCTGTGCTAGGCCAGAGCGATGTGACGAATTATCCAGGACAAATACATGCGCGGTCATAGAGATAAACGCAGTAGGCCTACGACTTGTCCAAATGGATGGATTGTGCCAGGAAACTTATTAACACGTTTGGCTAACCTAGAAGCCGCCTTCGATGATTTTCTGCCGAACCCACTTTTTGTGATTGGCACTCTCGGCCCCAATCGCCGACTCATCGCCCTGCCAGGATCGTCTATTATCGACCAATGTTTCTCCTGAGAGACGAGAGACCCGAACAAGTCCATGGATTGGGTCTCGGCTATTTCGAGGGATCTAGCGTTGACGCCACTCTTTCCAAACTTCCATTCCCATCGGAATTCTATTATTTATGTTTCTTTTAATTTCCTGGTAAAACAAAGCCACAATACCATGCAGGGTGTGTGTTTCTCGCTGTGTTTTTGGCAGCGTCAACCTCGGCGTTGCACAGCCGTGGGGTTGGTAAGCCCTTCCACTCCGTTCTTTCGTTTCAGGGCATTTGACACACACTCTCTCTCTCTGTGTATCTCACCGTCACATACTGTATTATCTTACTGATATTTTAAATCTTCGGACATTCTCTCGATTCAAGGGTCTGCCCGTTCACATAAAATTAAATCGTCAGGTCCACCAGTCTGGGGCGATGTTGTTTTACGCTATGCTGCATTTCGACATATTATACTATTCGGCCGGGGGCGCTTTTCGAAAGAGGGCTAATTAACCCTTAGGGGAACCTTAGCGGCACAGTTCCTACTAATATTTTTTTTTTTTTTTTGGAACGTACGCCATCAGTATCTTCCGAAATATTCTTACTCGCCCTGTTCGGTGATAATCAGTAGCGCATTGGTTGCTCGAAGAACAGACTTTCGGAACCATAGACGGTCGTAGCCACAGCAACGACTACCGTCTGTTGTTGGACGGACGAGAAAATGGAGGACCACTGCTCCTGGAGTTACAGGGTCTGCAGACAAGTTAAGAGAATCGAAGGAATCTTCACGAAATTTGGAAACGAAGGAATTTCTTCAGCTGGGAGAGGCCTTGCGTCGAGGATATAGGAAAGTTCGAAGTCATCTATATCGGCGCCAGTATTACATAGGCATATTTATTACAGTAAGACATGTCGATGCGTTGATCTGACAGTCGGGAAGATCTAGTCATTGTTGGAATAGAGGGAACCCTCTAACCCTCTGTCACCGGCACATGAAGAATTGTGGGTATATTAATAAGTTTCGAAATATCATGAGACCTATTACGGGTGGTGAACGTACCAAAGACGAGTACACTCATTGATATGGGCTTGGAGAAGGGAAATATGGCCAGCAGGATTCACTGGAGGCGGCACGGCAGCTCGACGATGCGATCGCACCAGCCAAGCGGCTAGTTGCCTTTGGCAAATGGGACCTGTCCATGCCCGAAGAGCAAGGTCGTCGCTTTCCGCATTGGCATGCGGACTCACCTTTTCAGGAATGCGAGGACTTCATTAGAGCGCTGGAGAAGGAGAGGAAGCGCGTTATGGGCGATGAGAAGCATTACTGTATGGATGATATATCTCACAATTAACATTGGAAAGGATTAGGGCTCCGAAAGGAATAAATGAATGCGAATATAGGGCATATTCATATTCGCACCCCGCGAATATGAATAAATGAATATCGTATTCGCGCGAATAAGCGCATTATTCATATTCGCATTCATATTATTCATATCATGCATTTTGCGCGCATTAATGGATCTTCCGTTTCCCCGGTTTTTGTATTACAGAAATACACGTTTCCACTAGCCAACTTGTATTTCAAGTGCGATCACAGCCTCGGTCAAGCATAAGTAGAAAATATTTCCCATGCAATCCATGTTCTGAAGTATATACCCTATATTGTAGGGCTCGGTAAGCTCTATGTATTCTGCGTCATTATTTTTCGTGATTTTTTATAGGTAAATGTCTAGTTTTGGTGACCAACGGTTGCTACAGAAAGTCGAGCGAAATTATATATATCTACAAGTCGTCTTTCCACATCTTTGCTGCTCTAGTTAAATCGACTACCATAACTTCTCTTGTTCCCACTCGATCTACTCCAAAGTTTAGATTTATTATAACCATGACTATTGGCACGTAAAAACGCGTTTATCATGCCACCTTAACTCACTTCTCATGCAGGTTACAGATTGTTTACCATGAGAGTCGCGAGCGAGAAACCGCCGCGTGTAAAGAAAAGACCTATCAACTTTCCACTTTACTGGGATTGCATCAGGCGAAAGCACAGCTAGTGTTTCCCCATCATTGTTTCATTCTCACCGTTCATTTCCGACCCGCCATGCTATCAAGTATTGTCGAGTGATACTAAAGGTGTGCCCCGCCTCGCTCCCAGGTACCACTTGGACTACTAACACTGGGCAAATACAGAATGGCATCCTCACCTAACCCATTTGTGCGAAAGACGCGTGGTCTTCCGCGTCGCGACTACAATGCTCTGAACAATGGCACACCCTCCCTACTCCCTGAGCCATGGGAAGGAAATATTCGTGAAATAGAGAGCCCCTGCTCGCCAGCACCATCCGAGTTTACAGGAGGCGAAGAGGCGTCCCCATCCGTGCGGTCCTTACCCATTCCCAGGTCTTCGCCCGCACCGCTAGATCCCACGCTATCAGGGTTGACTAGCAGTCAGAGTAGCCCACCGCCTTACAAGAGACGAAAAGCCAAGTCATATTCTAGCTGGACCCTCGAGCATTTCTGGATCACAGAGCTAGACAACACCTGGCGTCGAAAGGGTGGGCCACCAAAGAAGGATCGGCTCTTAGTCTGTAGGCAGTGCAGTTGGTCATCCAGGGATTCGGCACGCTATGGCTCCACTTCGAATTTGTTGGCCCATCTCCAGGCTAAGCACCGCATCAGTTCCGGATCAGACATCACGTCATCGTCAACTATCGGAACGACCCTGGACAGTTTTTTGACACCTGCAAAAGAAAGGGCGGGCCTTGAACAAATGCTGATACAATGGGTTGTCCAAACGAGACAGCCGTTTACGGTAGTGGAGCATCCGGCATTTAGGGCACTTTTTGAAGCGACAGGGGCTATATTACCCATCAAGACGGCCGACACTCTCTTCAACAGGATCAAGGAGGAATTTCGCAAAAACCGGACTTGCGTGAAAGAAGAATTAGCCAGTAGTAGTCGCACGCTTGCGCTGTCTCTTGATGTTTGGACATCGGAGAATCAGATAGCGATCATGGGCATCATTGGCCATTGGATCTCACCCGAGTTTGAGAAGCGGGAAGAGCTTCTGGAGTTTACTGACATATGTGGACCGCACTCTGGGGAGAACCTTGCGGAAATTGTGATTAGAATGCTTGAGGAACTAGACGTCGCGCCAAAGCTCCTCACAATTACGGGGGATAATGCTGCCAACAATGGAACTCTCTGCGACAGTCTTCACGCCGAGCTTCTCAAGAACTATGACGATAAAGACGACCAATTTCGCATCAGACCTCTTATGCGGTTTCGTGGACGGCAGAGCTTCATTCCTTGCCTTGCCCACGTCATAAATCTCATTTGCAGGGACGTACTCGCTTCCCTGAGGGCCGGCTCAGCTCGAGAGGCGAAGGTTATACTGGACGACATGGCCACACAAAGTAGCCCAACATTCACCTCTGCCCACAGCACGAAGGGAGCAATCATGAAGATCCGGCTGCTGACCCTATGGGTTGCCCGCAGTCCACAGCGCCGCCAAAATTGGAAAGATGTGTCACCAGCCAAGCAAGTGGGCTACGATGTTGACACTCGATGGAACTCAACCTATATCATGATAGCGGACGCCCTTCGGCTACAGAAGGAACTTGGACAATTTGTTCGGATGCATCCAGAAGTTCACGCCCTTCAACTAAACGAGAACGAATGGTCGATTCTTCAACAAGTAGCGAAGGTTCTTAAGCCATTCTGGGATCACACCAACTCCGTATCAAAATCTTGTCCCACGATTGTTGAGAGCTTGCCTATCTATTGGAGTCTAGACGACCTCCTTGACGAGGTTCAAAAAGCCGAAGGTGATTTTGAAGGTGTGGATACCGAGATCCGGGATGCGGTGGAAAGAGGAATCCAAAAGATGAACAAGTTTGCAAGGAAGATGGACACCAATCTTCTTTACTACGTGGCTTCCGTCCTAGACCCGCGTATTAAATCGTCTTTGATTGGATCGCAGATGAGCGAGCAAGATGCGGGACTGATCATCTCTCAAGTGCGGGAGTTCCTAAAGAGGGAGTATCCGCAGGAGTTGTCCATGTCGTGTGTAGTGGATCGCCCGCCGGGAATGTCCGAGACTATGTGGAGGACGCTGCGAAAAGTACAGCCATCACAGCGGACGCTTCTTTCAGACATTGATAGATATCTAGACGCGCCACCGGTGAGTTGGTCCCACCATATGATTGACGATGCAGACGAGGAATGGGTTCTCAAATGGTGGAAGGCGAATGTATTTAGCTTTCCACTCATGGCAAAGGCAGCCCGAGATTACCTGCCAATTCCATCAGCGGAGGTAGGGATTGAACGCGAGTTCAGCAATGCCAGGGATGTATTGGGGCTCAGGAGACACTGTCTAAATGCGGAGACTATGCGGTGGCTTATGCTACTGAAGGGACAGTATCAAAAATAGCGTTCCAAAAAAGTGATTGTGATAATATTAAGATTTATGGGAATGTAATATCTTAGAGATGGTGAACGCATTTGTTATAGAGTCTTAGGCACATGAAAATGGGTTCCTGTATTGAGACGTAACAACATGAACGGTAATGTATGCTCTCTCAGTATATGAATAAATATGATCATTCATGAATATTCATGAATAATGCAATATGAATAAGTCTCTTATTCATATTCATATTATGCAATTCATATTATTCATATTCGCAAATATTCATGAATATTCATGAATGATCATATTCCTTTCGGAGCCCTAGAAAGGATTGTTACTGACTTGGAAACAAAGACCTGGATACCCTCGCCAATCATCACGATTATCAACGGCGTGGGGCTGGCTCTATGCTTGTCAAATGGGGCTGCGATTTGGCTGATAAGGACGGCGTTGAAGCTTATGTGGATGCTAGCAAGGAAGGCGCACCGCTATACCAGAGACGCGGCTTTGTAGATTTCAGTCTTCCCGGCTCTGAAGTGGCCGCGATGGCTCGCGGCAAGAAAACTGCATAAGCGATACTCATTGCTTTTAATTCAGGGAAGGGCGGATCCAAGCGAATGTATTGACATGTATGGAAGTCCTTTCAAAAGCCCGGTGCTCAAAAACTTATCTCTATTCCTTGTAAGTGCTAATGAAAACATCCAAGCTGTCCAAACGGCAGGTTCCTTCTCGAAAAAAGCAGTGTATTCAGGTGAAGGCAGATGTTTGTTGTGGATACCCAGGAAGATAAACAGGGCGGCCACTTCATTGAGACGCTCATTATCAGCTTACCTGAAATTCCACTTTGACTGTATTGTGTAAACTTTCCGTAGGCGTGACCCACCTCCTTTCTTAGCAGCTTTGTCTCCTCCCAACTAGTCTCTTGGAAATCGCTTAGGTCCTGTGCTACCGAATAGCGAGGCGCCCGATTTGTGTATGGCTAGCGTATGGTTTCCATGGCCCGTCCCAGGATACGCGCAATCGGGAGTAGCAAACTTGCTTGTCTTAAGAGGGGAAAAATCGTGGCCCGTCCTACGATGAGTTCGATCGGGAGAAACGGCCTGACCTGCGATGGCTTGAAGAAAGGGGTAATCGTGGACTGTCCTGTGATGAGCTTGGCCCTACTGAAGAAGGGAACTCGTGGTCAGTCTCGGGATCGGGGGCACAGACAGAAAACTGTGGCCCGCCTCAGGATTTGCGCTCTTCGGAGTAACACAGCTGCGCGGAATGTCTTGGAAGGATGGAAAACTGTGGCTCATCTTAGGATGTACTGGATCCAGAGCAGTTTGTTCTAAACCTCAGTATATATTACCTTGTCAGTAAGACGCATCTGTTGCACTAAAGTTGAGCCTTGAACATGGATATCCGGGCCCTTACATCAACCCACTTCTCACGAGCCTTCCCGGCCCTAAGACTCGCTCTAGAGTGCTATTTCGGAATGGAGTTCATTGCTAAATCTCATTTGAAAGATGGCGAAGAATATCCTGTTTCTTTAAGTAGTGTTTTTGTGGCATGAAAAAGTAGCTTCGCCAGGTGGCTGTTCGAAATAGCTTTCTTCAAAGTCGCTGTTTTAAACCGCGAAATGGGCGCTCCATCGATGGACGCACAGTGTAAAGTCGGTAGAAATACTAGCTAGCCGGTTGCACCCTGTCGGTAGCTGATACCACGTGTACGTCCTTTTGGGTTAGACTCTAACCCAAAAGGAATATGGTTATTCATGAATATTCATGAATAATTGCGAATATGAATTATATGAATTGCATAATATGTGTTGAGATAGGTAGTTGTAGTGTTCTTGTTGAGGTTACTATCAAAAGTGGGAACCCCGTCTATTTAAATGTCCATCGCTAGTCCTGCCATAAGCTTTGACCACCGCGATACTCAACAACGAGATTCATTTATTCATATTCGCGGAGTGCGAATATGAATATGCCCTATATTCGCATTCATTTATTCCTTTCGGAGCCCTAGGTTAGAGTCCTACTTCACATACCTGTTCCTCACCTCTGGCCATTCGATACAGCTAATTGCAAAAAAACTAGAAACACTGCTTCCGTCCTTGGGGAAGTTATCGCACCTTCTCGGACGATGGAGACTCCTAGAAGGAGATCGTATGGTTTGGTACGAACTGGAATCGCGGCTCGGCAAGTTCTTGCGGAGTCGCGATTCTGAACCGCCAACAATGTGTCTGACCAATGGGCGCACAGTATCCAGCCAAAACTGCCAAATTTATTCGGTAGTTCTGGACCGTAATAAAGTACGGACGGAGTACCTTTCACGTATACTCCTCGAAGCTATTTACATTAGTTTCAACTCTATTCCTGGTGTTTCATCGAAACTTTTTTGTTATGCTTATCTGGCTAGGGTGGATGTGAGAATTAAAAGGCTTATTGGGCCTTGGCTACTGAGGGTAAAAGTTTATCATGGGATAATCAAGGTCCTCTAAGTCAACATGAAGTGTTGCCTGACGTTTCTTCTCTTTTTCTGCCAAATACATGTGGTAGTGCGCGAACGGGTCTTGGCATCAATCGCCACGATAGGACATCTGCAACAACATTTCTAGATGTAGGAATTTATTGTTTAAGCGGATAGCAACACGTGTAAGTCCGTTTCATTTGGGGTTTAGCCTGGTAGGAGCACGTCATAGCGTAGTCGAAGTAGTGGGTGGTTCTCACGGGCAGCCAAATAGGTGGAACTGGGCGACGCGCCACTGTAGACCTTCTCGTGCACGGGATTTAATATACTGGGTCCGGTTCCATGTTCACTCTCCACAGTATCATCATAGGAACACGGGTTGTTATCTCCAGGGCCAGGAACCGTGCCCCCAGATGCCATTTCTTTTATACAAGCGCGGGCCTTACTCCTCGCGACTTTTGCTTCCACAGGGACACGGCCCAGCTCCCTGGAATCTTGGTCATGGTAGTCCACGCTCTGCGTTCTTTATATGCCGCAGGGGTCGACTCGTCCCTCTCTCGTCGCTGGGAGTTTCGCAAAGAGTCCCCGCTCGAGGGTAGCGACCGCTCGCTTTTTATTGCCATGGGCGTGATAGCTCTCTTCTCTTTGGGGTCCACTCTTAGCCTCGTCTCATTCCTGACGTACCGATTCATCTACTGGCAGCGGTACTATAAGCACTCGCTTGCTCAGAACCAATACGTTGTGCTTATTTACAATCTCCTGCTGGTTGACTTGCAGCAAGCAATCGCCTTTCTAATCAGTTTGTACTGGGTGTCTCGTGGAGGCATCCGCTTTGGTGAGCCCGCCTGCTATTTGCAAGGATGGTGGATTCAGACAGGAGACCCGGGTAGTGGGTTGTTCGTCCTGTCAATTGCTCTTCATATGGTGGCCGTGGTGCTGCGTGGCCGACAATTGCCGTTCAATATCTTTGTATACTTGGTGATCGGGCTATGGATATTCATTCTCGTTTTGGGATTCATTCCGGTTGGTTTGTATGGCTCTGAGGCGTTTGTCATCTCAGAGGCCAATTGGGTATATACTCCTGCTTCCCTTGTGCCTGAAGACCAGTGAGCTGATTCGCTTGATTATACAGTGCTGGTTGAGTCCAGAGCACGAAAATGAACGACTTTGGGGTCACTATATCTGGATTTTCTTTTCCGAGTTCGGTACAATCGTCCTCTATGCGATAATGTTCTTCTACCTTCGACGTCGTATGACGCAAGCGAAGATGCTCCGCCGTGGCCAGCAAGAGAGCCTGCACCGTCTCAACCGAGTTGTTATTTACATGGTGATCTACCCATTCGTTTACCTGATTCTGTCGCTGCCACTTGCTGCGGGTCGTATGGCAACCGCTCGCGGTGACCCCCCAGTAAGACTTACTTCGGTATCGCTGGCTCCTTGATGGCTTTGTCTGGTGTCATGGATGTGATTGTCTATACCCTTACTCGTCGCCACCTGCTCATCGATACCGAGCACAGTACGACTGACGGCAACTATGATAACACAGACTCACAATGGCAGACCATCGTTACCGCAACCGCTGGTGGTGGAACTCGCTCTCGAAAGGGAGGGTCCCGCATGGGATCTCGACTGAGCTCGAAGTTCAGGCGGAGTATGCCCACTGTTGACAAGGAGACCCGACATCGTCCGCTCGAGGACTCAACCGAGGATATTGTTCCGAAGAACGACGTGGAAATGACCAACTTTGGTGGCGTGTACCAGGAAACCACCATTGAGATCTCTCACGAACCCGCAACCCCTGCTGGGTATATGGATAGGAGCGCACGCCGGAGCGGCTAGGAGCTTAATTATGCTGTATGATTCTTTGTCGCCCTCTGGGGCATTTGCTTATATACCACCTATTTAATATCTGTGTCTGCCACTTCCATAAATTTTTCCAATCTACGATCCCTCGTGTTTTGCATATGAATAATATTTGCCCTGTCTCCAGCGAGCACGCTGGATGAGAGCACCGCTCAAAATGGGCCACAGAGGTGGACGTGGACTCAAAGGACTCTAATGGCCGAACACCACGTACTCTGACGCTCGTTGCCAAGACTCTCCTTCACCCCTTTGCAAAGATCTTGCTTTCCTACCGAGCCGACGTAGATGCGATGGTCGATAATTTCTCTCCTCTCATGACAGCCGCAAAATACGGTTCAGACCTGGTCACCAATCTCTTGCTGCGTAAGAGAGAGCCGCGCTTGAATACAAGAAACGCGAACGGCCTGTATGCTCCGTGGTACGGCGTGGAGAAAGGGTCATTTGCGGTCGTGAACCGGCTCCTCCAACACCGTCGTGTTAAGATCGATCTTCCTAATTGTCAGGGCCAAACAGTGCTCGGCTTGCTGTCTACCGAGGCAACAGAGAACTGGCAAGCCTACTACTCTCAAGAGGCGCCAACCCCGATATCAAGGACGTCGATGGATTCTCGCCATGGATCGAGGCATGCATCAGCAATAAGAACTCCATTAAAGATCTGCTCCTAGATTTTATATTCGCTGAGTCCACCGAGAGGGCTTCAAAGGATAGCGTATTTGCTGGGAATGGAGGTGAGGGCAGCTGTCTTTATGGACAAGGCCAAGTTCAGCTACCAACAAAGCGGGTGAGATTTGCCCATGTCTGACAATGTTTTCCCACCAGAACAGCTCACTGGCTGTATTTTGTGTTATCATTTATTTTGGGAACGGGAAGTAATAACACAAGACATAAGACGATGCGCATATTGATTCGTAGATTAACTAATCATCACCCGTTGCCTTCACTCAATCGTGCAATCTCAATGAGCTGCTTACCTTCATACATGTGTATTTGAATTCAATCGAAGGGTACAGCGCACGTTGAGAGCAGGGCGAAGGCAGTGGTAGTGACAAATGTATTCAGGTTAAGAGGGGCTAGAAGTATATGGTGATATCTAGCGGTAACAGTAATCGTAGTGAGTATTTTGCTTGTTAGTGAAACATGGATGATGTTTGGCTGTACCAAGGAAGATACCGCGAGTGATCTCCTCAGATGGAGCTGCAAATTGCCCCCCAATTTCTGCACCATCTGCCGCAGAACGAAACATTCCCGATTGTAT